CGCTGTACCTCCAAGTATTGGAGAATTATTTGCGAAATGCGGCGCATTTAGTATGTTTTTCTTTCTTGATTTTGAATTGAATTCAGGTTACAGTAATATTTAATTTGTTTATTGAATTTGTCGTTAGCTGTATTAACAGGTGTGATTTTTTTTTAGATTAATGATTTGAGAGCGAGGCTGGAGAGAAATGAGCTTGAAGCTCATAATAATATTGCAACAGTTGCGGTCCCAAGGGCGGACTTAGGACATCGCGCAAGTCCTCCGCCAACTCAGGAGCAATTAGAATTGTCCCGAGAGCTCCTGGAACACGAGCATGAAATGGAGCAAGAAGGTGAGGATGAGGAGCGGCTCGTGTTCCATTCCCTCCAGCAGCAACAACATGAAGAGCGAGAAATGGTAGAACCAGTACCGGCACTGGTTCAAAACGAAGAGGAGGAGGAGTTGGCGGAGCGGCGTCAGGTATCACAGGAAGCGCTCCTCAATGACGAACTGATACCAAGAGCGCCTTCAATGGTCCGGCGACGCAGGAAAGTGACACGAACGCGCGAAATAGTACTGTAAGTTTTATTTCTGACTATAAAGTGTGCCAGAAAATTCAGTTTGAAATGCTAATATTAAATGGAACTAATTTATCACATCGTTAGGTTTATAACAAACTTTTCTTTAAAAAATCTTGAGTGAATATACTTCAGGCGTTCCCGGACCATACGTGTCCCAATTGTGGAAGAAGAAGAAGGGCGTGGTGCAGTACCAGCGGGTCCGGAAGCCTTTCATACGCCGGTGGTGGAAGGTTTACCGCCGCAGTACCGACAGCTGTTGGTCACGCCAGAAATCGACCCATACACGGTGGCTCGAAATGCTGACGGGTCGGCCACAATTGGTAAATTTAAATTTATTTCATTACTATATTAAAAAGGTCTACATGGATAATTTGAATATGTTTGGAAATGCTTGTCATACTTTCAGAGTGCAGTATGTGCACGAAGAGATTTGGGACCTTAAAGGGATGGCGAATCCATGCCAGCAAAGTGCACCGACAAAATGGCAAGTTTCACTTCATATATTACTGCTATTGCTAGGATTTTGAATGTTTATTGTTAATAACCACAAAAGTAAGATAGTTCTTATTATGATGCAGTCATTTCAGGCTTTTGTCAAAGATGCGGCCATTTTATTAACATGCCGCATGTGAACTCCGATGAGGAAATAACAGCCACGATGGAGCTCCACTCCTTGGAATGGTGCCCCATGGCCACGAAGGCCGTCATAAGTGAGAGGGCTGTTAAACGAAGGAGGCTAGAACTAGCTGGTAGAAGCGATGAAGCCCAGCACTATTACATCCCCGGTAGGTGAAATATTTCTTTTTTTTCAATTGGTATCAAATGCAAAATTCTGTGGTTATATTCATTATTTTATTTGTTTTCACTTAATCTTCGTATTTTTTTGCAGGTGCAGAAGAAGGATGCAATTTCTACCAGTAAAAGGAGATGTCGTGTGCAGAGCCATCCTTGTCCAACTTGCGCCTCGCTCCAGCTTTAATCTCATCTCTACGCAAGTAATACCAATTTTTTGCCTACTAGCGAACTAAATTTTTGGATTTTTTGACTAATTAAGATTTTTGATTTTTTTTTCTATTTACTGTTTATGGAATTAATGATTTTCTTGCTGTAGCTGTTGTTTTTTTTGAGACTTTGGTTACTAATTTTGAATTTTTTTTGTATATTTACTGATTCGTTTGTTGGTTTTGGTATTTTTGGATTGATTGTTTGTTAAACTTTATTTGTTAAGTTATTAATTGTTGGTTTTGAATTGCTAATTTCTGAGTTCTAATCCGGCCACAAATTTCTGAAAAATTGCGAGGGAATTTTTTAGTTTTTGGATTTTTCAATCCTCGTTTGCCATTAAATTATAAAATTTTGTCAAGTTGGAATTCCGTCTGTTTGGTGACCGTTATAGGACTAGATGACTTTCTATCGAACCTCTATGTGACTGAACTCTGATAATAGTGGTTTAGGATAGAACTCTTAAAATTAGCTTGTTCCGCATTGTTTTGGTTTTTTAATTTAACGTTTTCTAATTTTGCTTTGTTCTCTAATGCATTTAAAAAAGGAAAAAAGTGAAAAAACAAAATACAAAAATTAATAAAAAAATAAAAGCAAAAG